CCCGAAATATAAACTCACAGGCGAGCCCCTCAGAGCAGTTTCAAGCCTCTCACCTTCCCCTTGGGGTTTGAGCCAGAAGCCACTGTTCCCGTCTCCTCCAGGTTGGGCTGGTGAGCAAGGAGCCCTTTCACCTGGGGTCATCTGGGACCAGTGTGTCCAGCCTAGAGTCAGCTGGACAGCAGGAAACCGGGCCTCTCTGTGTTCCGTCACCCGAAATATAAACTCACAGGCAAATCCCTCAGAGTGGTTTCAAGCCTCTCACCTCCCCCCTGGGGATCCAGCCAAGCCAGAAGCACAAAGGCACGGTTGCTGCGCATCCCATCCAGGTCAAGCTGGTGAGCAGAGAGCAGCTTCCCTGGGGGTCACCTAGGATGAGTGTGTCCCGCCTAGGGTCAGCTGGACAGCAGGAAACTGGATCCCTCTGTGTCCCGAGCAGGGAGGTTTTTCTCTTCTCCAGCAACAGGGACAGTGTCTTGAGCAGTTTCAGCCACTCTTTTTCCCCCTAGACTCACTGCAGCTCCCCACAGAAGGGAGTCCCCCACCGGTCTCTGGTCCTGGCCCTATTTTATCTTCCCCAGTTTGCACTCACGCTGTAAGGTTTTCTCAGCAGACTCTGTCTCCTTTTCTTCCCAAACTCCTGGATTCTCTAAAGGTTCCTATGGCTTCAGGCCTTCTCTGTTTGAGAGATGGGGGTGAGTGAAATGTTCAGAGCTTCCTACTTCTCTGTCATCTTGCCTCCCTCTCCTATTATTATTTTTTTTTAATGCTTATTTCTTTTTGAGAGAAAGACAGCACATGTGGGAGAGTGGAAGAGAGGGAGGGAGACACAGAATCCAAAGTAGGCTCCAGGCTGTAAGCTTCAGAACAGAGCCCCACTTGGGATTCGAACTCATGAACCATGAGCTCATGACCTCAGCCAAAGTCAGATGCTTAACCAAGTGTCTTTGTGGTTATCTATTTTTAATCACTGCAGTGCATTTTCATTATTCATTATCAGTTGGTTCTATTGGATTTTCAAGGGAAGCAGTCATAATTTGTCACTAGAATTTCTGACAGCTGTTATCTCTTATTTTTATCTCATCTCCTTTTGCTATGACCAGAGCATCTAAAACTGCATTTCTGATTTTAATGAGAATACTTCCAGCATTTTATTCTATATGAATAAAATATACCAGTTGCTATAAAGTATTTACTACATTGATATTCATCTAAGCTTAATTTATAAAGTTTTTCTTTTAATCAGAAATAAGTGTACAGTTTTTCAGTTGCATTGGTTTTTTTGTCTCTTGAGAAGAACTTAAGTGACTTATCGTTTCATTTCTTGATTAAATCAATTGATCATTATGAATTTTTCTTTCATATTCTCTTACAATTTGGTTTCCTAATATTTTATTTTTGAATCCTTGTTTACTATTGATTAGGCTGTGGTTTTCTCTTTCTGTGCTATTTTTGTAGGGAATAGGGGGTTTCCTTTTTCATATTTTTTACAATTCTTTTTGTTTATATTTCTATAGTTATATAGTATGGAAATTATTCTTTAAGGTAAAAGGAGCTTTTCTATTAGATATTCTGTGCTGTTAATTTTTTATGAAATGTAGAAAAATAGTGGTTTTGCTTTGTGAAGTTTTGCATTGTTATGAATCTATTTCATATTTTTTTTCAAAAATTTACCTATGTTAGATAGAGATAGTTTATTAAGTTGAAATTTATGAAATAACTATTTCTGTGATTAAAATTTTCATATTGGCATTTGTTTTTCTAATAAACTCTGTATCAGTTATTGAGCACCCTTTCTCATTTCTGTTATTTATATTTCCTTCCTAATGAGTAGATTTGATAGAATATTAATTTTATAGAATATTAATAGGTGTTATGTTTGCAGAAACAAGTATTGGATTATATTTGGAATGCTTGTATAAACAAATTTATACAAGTCTTTTTTTTTTTTTACTGCACTGTTCTTAATAGCCTTTCATATGCTCAAATGCATTATAAATCCTCAAAAGGAGATAAAATAATATTCAGTGTTTCTAAATACTAATTGAACATGGAATATGTTTTAAATTCTCATGGGACTAATATTCCATGAAACATGCTTTGGAAAATCTAGTTTTAGCTCCTGGTTATTTTGAAAAATTAACTCTTGAATTTGGCTATTTTTTTAATTCAGTACTTGGTATTTTTATTTTTATTATTTTCTTTTATTGTTTTCATTATTCTTTTAGTTGGCACCCTAGATAACATATGAACTTTTAAAAATTTATTATTGAACTATAGTTGACATACAATGTTATATTGCTTCCCAGGTGTCTAGCATGGTGATTTGAAAAGTCTTTTACATAGCAACATGGATGGAACTTGAGGGTGTTATGCTGAGTGAAATAAGTCAGGCAGAGAAGTACAGCTACCATATGTTTGCACGTATAGAAGGGTTAGGAGGAACTTAACGAAGGAGCATGGGAGAGAAGAAGGGGAAAAATAGTGGGGGAGAGGGAGGGAGGCAAACCATGAGAGACTCTTGAATGCTGAGAACAAACTGAGGGCAGATGAGGTGGAGGGAGGGGAAGTAGGTTGATGGGCATGGAGGAGGGCACTTGTGGGGATGAGCACTGGGTGTTATATGGAAACCAACTTGACAATAAACTATTTTTAAAAAAAAGTCTTTTACATTATTCTCACTAAAAATGTAGCTACTGATAGCATATGATTAAAATTCATTAACATGGCATACATGGGTCTTTAGGTTATGCAGGCATTTATTCCTAACACCATCTTCAAATTAACTGACTTGTGTATACCTTTCATACTTCCCGTATAAGGATCATACTTTTGTTTCTGAATGACTTTGCCTGTTACTTTTTCTGTCCGTGTTCTCACATTTATCTTCTTCCTTCACTTATCTGCTTAATAAACTCATTTCTACTTTAAAGGTTTAAGTCATATTTTATGAAGCTTTTCTGACTCTTTCACATCTGTTACATCCTTTTATAGTTTCTGGTTCTTAGCCAAAATTCTCAATTTTGTCTTTCATCTCCTTAAACATAGTAAACATTGCTATTGTAAGGTATGGATCGATAAAACTTCACTTTATGTAACCCCTGTGAGTCTACTTCTATTGCCTGTTGTTTCTCATAGTTCTCTTTCAAATAATTTCATCTCTTTGTATGTCTGATTATTTTTTATTGTGTGTTGGAATTTATACTTGAAAAATAATAGAAATAATTTGAGGCCTAGAATAGTGTTCTATTCTTCTAAGAAGTCTTAATTTTACAAGTGAATTAAACCCCTAAGGCCCTAAGAAGGGTTGCTACATACATTACAGGACATTCAGTTACAATATTTGGGTTTTAGGTAAGCAATTAATTTAGTATAAGTACATCCCAAATATTGCACGGGACATACTTTTACTAAAAAATTATGTTGTGGGGTGCCTGGGTGGCTCAGTCAGTTAAGCATATGACTTCGGCTTAGGTCATGATTTTGTGGTTTATGGGCTCGACCCCAGTCAGCCTCTGTGCTGACAATTCAGAGCCTGGAACCTGCTTAGGATTCTGTCTCCCTCTCTATCTCCCAAAAATAAACATTAAACAATTAAAATAAAATAAAAAATTGTTGTTTATCTGAAATTGAAATTCAGCTGGGTGTTTTTCATTTTTATTTGCTAAATCTGGCAATTCAAGCCCTAAAGCATCTATTGTATGTGATAAATGAATTACATCTAGAATGGTACTAGTCATGTGAGAATTGAAAGAATAGTCACACAGATAATTTTCTTTGTAGGGTTTGAAAGAGGAAACCTGGTTGAGAAAGGTTACTCTAGGGAGTGCTTCTGCAAGATACTTGTGAGCACTAGTAATACAGTATCACCTAAAGACAATTTCCGGGATTGAAATGTTTCGAAGCTAGGCTATAGTCCCTGTGAGAGCTGTTCTACTTTTATCAGAAGCTGTGTTCAGCCTCTTGTCTTTGTCTGAATTGGCAGATGACCTCAGGGAAAAGGTGGCCTAAATGCTGGTCTCTTATCTTTGAATTTCTTTATAGATGTTGGCCTTATAATTTTTCACTGTCCTGCCAGCTTTCTGATGTATTCAAGCAGATTTTTTAAATTGTCCAGCTTTTCTAGTTGCCGCAGCAGGAGGTTTGGCCTAAATTACTTAGTCTGCCTTTGCTGGAATCTTAAAACTGTGGGAAGAGCCACAGTTGAACTCTAGGTCAGGATCTGTTTGGCACAAAATAGTCTCTTTAGGACAGAAAGGAAGCATATATTTTATACATAATTCCAGCCTGTGTACTTAAAATATATATGTTCTAAAGCAAAGTATAAAATTGATACAACTAAGGGATTTATATCTACTTGGAGAATAATCAGATTAAGCTGTAACCAATCAGGAAACACTATTAGCCACTTACATTTTAGTGGCTTGGATAAAATTATCTAAGTAATTACTTGTATAGAAAATGAGATGATTTTTGAGATGGTATTCAAACAGAAGTCCTGTTGCTATGTTCATACATGTTTTCTGACCCACCTAAGGCTTAAAGCATTTTAAAAGTATAATAAAAGTGCACAAAAATAAGTTGGAAAATTGGTTGTCTCCTTGAAATATTCTGTACATCTGGCATTTCATGGTTCTCTGAACCATCTAAGAAACTCACCATCACCCACCTTCCAAAGGATCCATCTCCAAGCTGTGTTTTTAAAGAACTTTGCATTTGTTCTGCTTCTTGTAGTTCTTTAATACTGTCCTTTGTTTCTATCCCTAAATAACATAACTAGTACACAATTCATTTCCAAATACAGTATGTTTCAGAACTAAATATTTTTGTTTTTACAAGTGTTTTTTCCACCATAACACATTTACTGTCTCCTTTGATGATCAGATATTTAAGTAGTATAGTTATAAAAGATGGTATTAAACTTAAGTTTTTCATTAGTTTTAATAAAAAATCATTCTAAGCATGTCTTAAGTTTATGTTTCTAAAAAACCTTTTTTTTTTAGAGTTGTGAAGTTGCAACTACCCTAGATCGAAGCCACAAGATTCGGTATTCAGATTCAGTGGAAAATGGATCAATTATCTTTTCCCTTTCTGGTACAGTGTATTTGCTAACTGCCTTGACTTAAGTTTCTTATAAAATGTAGGAGTATAAATTCTAATAGTGGTAGTTCAGTAACCAGGTAATAAACATAAGGTATTTTATTTTTGGAGAATTAAATGTATAAAACTATTACTGCTACAAAAGTAGTACATGTGGCCAATTACAACATACATTTCTTTTTAGATTACAATTGTTGAACTAAAGCCAAACCAGTGGAGTGTGGTAGAAGATGTTAAAAACTACTTGTTTTGGAACTAAGATGAAAATAGAACAAAGCCACCTCTCCAACAGTAAAATGTTACCAATAATAATGAAGAAGCCAACATCACAACATTGGTCAAAAGCCGTATACAAAAACAATATAGGAAAATGTTTTTTTAATGACTTTGTACATGATTTTAATGAATATAAACAAATAGTAAAAGAAAAGAACCAAATGGAGACAAATAGAAGTTCTGCAAATCATAAAAGTGCACAGTGATCATGGGCAAAATACAGGAAGGAATTAGATTAGGATATGAGAAGCCTCGGACAATGGAAAAGGGGCAGCACAAAGCATAGTTTTGTGGTAGGGAAATGACTGAAGTGATAAAACAGGTGGAGGTAAAGGATTTTATCAGGAGCATTGTAGATAGACTGATACCCTAGCAGAGGTTTTGGAGACCGGAAGCTTTCAAAAGCTACTAGAAATAAAACTCCAGACTGACAGTGGTCCAACTTCAAATTCATCCTTTGTGGTTGGATAAAGAGCCCGCTAGGGAGAAGTGAAATGTTCTTAATACCTACTATGTTCCTTGGCCACTTTATATACTGTATCTTATTGAATCCGCTCAACAAACCTATAAGCAATTATTATTGCCATCTTGAAGATGGCAAAAAATTTATATTTTTATGTCAGTTGCCCAAGTTCACTTAATTAGCGTCATATAATCACTTTCCTCAGATTGTCTTCTCATCATTTAAGGTGCTATAATTAGATCACATTTACCTTCAGGACTATTCTTACAGGCCTGATCCCATTTAAAAAATCCTAGATAACTGCTCACCAAGTATATTAATGTATATAATAGTTAATGTTCTCTACAAAGGTTCCTTCAAGAACTAATTGAAGGCTTATTTATCTTTAATTTTCAGCTTTAAACAAATCATGATAACACGAAAAAACTTTTAACTAAAATTTGGCATTATTTTGTATACAGTGCCTTCATCAGAAAATGGTTACTGACCAAAAACATATTTTTCCTCTTATTTAGAATAACCCATCCTTTTATATAGAGCACTTCAAAGGATTACCTAAATTATTTTGTACTTTAAGAATTTTGTTATAGTAAATTGTGTTCCTTATATGTTTAGGTCTTGGACACTTACCAGCTATATTATAGTTATTTTTGTTGATTTTACTGAGTTTACAAAATATTTTATTATATGACAAAGTGATGTTTCATATTATGTTCACCTTTCCTAGGAGTTGCATTTTTGTTGATGGATGCTAAAGAATGCTTTACATCAGCTGAAGAAATATTTCTAGCCAAAATTGAGAAGTTTATTAATATTCACCAAAATAGTTTTTTGGTTCTGTCTGCTGCCTTCCATGGGCCTGAAGAATGGAAACTGATGTTCAGGATTCAGCAGAGGTATGGAAGAATAGTAAGACTTTTCTTAAATTACATTGTGCTTGCTTTATTTCTTAATCCTTTTAAGCAGGTGAATTGTGTTTTGCCAAAAGATAAACGTTACAATATTAACTTGTCATAGTTAACAAAATGCAGGCCTAATGGGTATTCCAAGAATCAGGGTAGCAAGTTTCAGAGTTCACGCTGATTTCTGAGATTCTCTTGCCAGACCAAAACAAAAGTGAACATTTAGTCTGTTAAATTCTGGCTACAAAGTCTGTCATAACCTCTATGGAATAGGGCAGGACATAATAAATAGCAAGAGCTTTCTGTCTCCTTTCTGCTTACTTAACAGATGTCTATATAAGTTATATAATGTATTTAACTTACGAATTATTTTTCAGATTCCTGGGTAGTAACTTACGGATACTTCCAGTACACAACACAGTAAATGTTATTAATCTTATGTGCACTATAGCTAAGGTGAGTCACCTAAGGAAAATGACACATAAACCCTCATAGATTTCAAGGTTCTTGACTTCAAAATGCACACCCTCTTGAACAGGATTGACAAATACTGTTTCTGTTCCCCTCAGACAAGTTGCTTTTTCAGCCTGCAACTCTTGGAAGCCTGAACTTAGCCTCTCAAGTCTTCTCAATTTACTTCTGGTAGTCATTACCGCAGTGACTAATTTTAGGCCAAAAGAGCATATGGCATATATACACGATGTTGGTCCTACTGGTTACTTAAATCTTCTTTCAAGTTCTAAAATATAATTATTGGCCAGATTGTAGTCAAGAACTGTCAAAGTGCATTTTTTTTAAAGTTTATTTATTTATTTTGAGACACTGTGTGTGTGCACAAGCGGGGGAGCAGGGCGGGAGTCAGAGAGCCAGGGAGAGCATGACCTGAGCTGAAATCAAGAGTGGGACACTTAACTGACTGAGCCACCCAGGTACCCCAGAGTGCAAACATCCTATTTTATAGAATGATCTTCACTACACAGGTTGTCCATTTTCTTTCCATGCTTGTCCTCTGTGAAATGTGCCCTAGGCAGAGTTAGGTGTTTCTTACTCTTATACTTGGAACAGATCTCCATTAAAGCAGTATTCTACTTTTGGCTTGTTTGGAATTACTTAAGGACCGAAATCAGGTATTTTTCTTTTACTCACATAACTCATACATAGTATTTAGTACAGAAGGTGATTTGATACTCGTTGAGTAAGTGAAGGTTTATATTTTTTATATGACCCTGTAAAAATGACTTATTTCTGTAAATAACATTGCATATTTATAACTTCTTACAGATGGCCTCCAAACCATACACAGACAGCATCTGCTATAGAATGATAACAACTGAGGCTTACATCATTGAGCAAAGTCCTGTTTGGAAAACACTTCAAAAGTTAAAACTGAGTAGTGATTGATTCAACCCAAATTAGAGTATCAATTACAAATGTTCTTTTGGAAGAATATTAAAATAAGTAGACCACTTCAGTTATAATGTTCAAATATATATTTACCTTAAAGATTCTTTAAAGTTTTAAATAAAATGCATATGACTAAAATTTATTTTATTTTCAGTTTTGTTGAGTAATCCCTTTAATGTTTAGAAAACATTGGTACATACATATATTTAGAAAGTCAGATGCAGTTTCTTAATGATACAAATTGAGTTGGGTGGATAAATATTTACTACAAAATGAAAACACAGCATTTTTAAACTAGCCCCTTAGACTAAAAGGAAAGTCACATACACTTTTTAGCTTTACCACAAAGGCTGCCATTACTTCCAAAATTAATCTTTGTAGATCTTTCATATTGTAACTGCTCCTAGAGAGGTGGTAATGGGACTCTGCCCACTAAGACTCCTCCTGAGGCAGGGAAATTAAGAGAAGCAGCCAACTGGCCTAAATGAAAACTTCTCTGTACACTTTTAGAGTGCTGTGATACCCTCTTTGATATTAGAAGTTCTAAATTTTTTTTTAATGTTTGTGTATTTTTGAGAGAGACAGAGTGTGAGCTGGGGAAGGGGTAGAGAGAGAGGGAGACAGAATCCAAAGCAGGCTCCAGGCTCTGAGCTGTGAGCACAGAACCCAACATGGAGCTCGAACTCACAAGCTGTGAGATCATGACCTGAGTCAAAAGTGGATGCTTAACCAACTGAACCACCCAGGTGCCCAACACTAAGAGTTCTAAAATATGTTATAGCATCTAACTGGAACATAAAGTGTATCAATGTATTTATAAACTCATTACACCTGTATGAATGCATAAAGGCAACTCACCTACCTTTTATGAAATTGTAATATAAATTATTAGTTTGTATTGGATTTTCAACAGTAGGATTTAGAATACATATATAGGCATTATTACCATGTAGATAATCTTTTTAAAACCAAAGAATACTACTGATCCATAATATGTCATCACAGAAACCAGTAAATGAGAAAGAGTACATTTATTTTTTCTAGGAGTATTTTACAGAAAATTTTTTATAAAGATGTTAAATAATCATAATGGAAAACACAGTATTTTACTAGTTTTTATTTTGGGGAATGGAAGTTCATTTTATCCCAATATTTTCTTCAGGAGTAGACTTTGTTTTTATTTCAATGAGTTCTTCTACTCGAGCCAAAACACTTTCAATCAAATCAAATGTGAAAAGAGCTGAATGTAGAACCTACAATGCCAAGCAAATTAGTATTATATTAATGTTGCTGTTAAAACAAAAAAACAAAGTGCTCAGCTGGATGTAGCTTAGGAAAATTTCAGATATACCTTAAGCTGCATTTCAGGTGGCATATTAGGGATCTCTTCTCCACCTACCGTTACAGAGCAAAGATCTTTAGATTTCTGGACAACTGTTAAGAAAAAAATGTAACCATTAAAACAACTCTTGGATTTCAATGATCAATTTGTAACCTTCACTCATTATTATATGCTACACTAAAAATAAATTTCTAGTAATGCCTTTAAGAAATACCCTCACAGTTATATAGAAAAGAGATTATTACAGTAGAATTGCTGACTTTATAAAAAGTATTTCTGAATCTGAGATTCTTTTTTGTAATTTGTACAGATTTATTTGAGTGAGGCTGGCAGTGAGGATAGGTGGGGGGGCTGGACAGAGCCATACCAAAGTTAGTGCAATATCCAAACAGAAATACATGTAATACTATTAAGATTCTTAATCAGAATTTGATCTTAATCTTGTTTTAAACCAGTATATACTTCAATTTGTTTTAAATCTTTGTTAACCCAATTTCAATGTTAACTGGCTTTACAGATCTGTTAAAAATCATTTTAATTATAAATGAAATGACTTAATTGTCATGGTTCCTTGTTATAAAATAAACAAATATGACAATAAAGAGTTCTTTATTTTGAATATACATAACAGTTCTAAAATTTGACTACTTTTTAGACCTAACTATTACATTGGAAATACACATTACCAACCTTGGCTATTTTCTTGGCTATTTTTAATTTCTGCTTCATAATGTGCTTTTGACATATTAAGTCCTGTATGGAGTGGCTTTAAGAAATTATTCTCAATCTTTCCAAGTTCTGTCCATAATCCAGTCTGTTCAGAAGAATTAATGAAAGAATTAGTTACTTGGTTCAACATTTCTTGATTGCCCATTATTATTAAACACATGTTAAGAGCTGAAGAAACAAAAATCTGATCCTTGCCTTCCAAGATAATTTACTATTTAATAAACATTCATTATTACATCTAGTTATTTTATGTGACTACCAATCAAAATAAAATACCAGTCAAAACAAAAATGTACTTTGGAAGCTACACTAACTCCTATACCATTTGGACAGCTCCTGACTTTGAGATGTTTAATGTACAAGTTTTATGTATAAGAAAATTATCTAAGAATAATCCATATGATGAGACCTTTCTCTTCCTGTAAAAACCATCCCTACAATGACTACTTTATATATTCTTTCAACTTGATTGTTCAATTGATATCCTTGTCACAGATCTAGTTCTAGAGGATTCTTTCCCTTCTCTGTTAATGGAAACATTTCTAACACAAAGCTGTTAGTGAATTTTCTGGTGATCCATGTGGATAGAGATTGTACCTGCTTAGGACAGCTTAGGGGTATTCTGTCATTTATATTAGAAGTTTTTATTCCAAGAGCATTTCTTCCTATATTACTTAAAGGAGGGGAGTCATGAAGTCTTAATTTTATTAGAAGAAAGGGAAATGAGAGGGGAAGTGTGGGTGGTGGGGAAGAGACAGGAGAGAACAAGAGGAGACAGAGGAGGGAGAAAATTCATTAATATTATTAAAAGTTGCTAGGTGCTCTTTACAAAGGAAAATATCTTAAGTGAAAAAGGGAAACTTAGGAACGCAACTATCCTTAACTAAAAGTGGATCACCTGAAAGCCTATTTTGTATTCAAGTTTTGATTATTCAGTTCCTAATAGTATCTCTTATTATGTATACAAATATGTCATAAACTAGATTTTATTCACAGTTATATAGAAGTTCTTAAATGTCAATGTGCTAGTTAAAAATGTAGATTTCTGTGCTTTACTCGGAGACTTTGAATAGATTTAGGGCTGAACCCAGGAATTTGCATTTATATGCATAAAAGAATACCCAGATGATTTTGATTAGGACCATATGTTAAGATACAATGATCTAAAGGGTGCCTTAGTAGCTCAGTAGTTGGTTAAGCATCTGACGGGCTCAGGTCATGATCTTGCGGTTCACTGAGTTTTAGCCCCATTATCAGGCTCTGTGCTGACAGCTCAGAGCCCGCAGCCTGCACTGGAATCTGACTGCCTCTTCTCTCTGCTCCTCCTCTGCTCATATTGTATCTTTCTCTGTCTCTCAAAAAATAAATAAATGTTAAAAAAAAAAAAACAATCAAAAAGAAAAAAAGATACAGTGATCTAAAATGACCCCCATCCAAGGGGCACCTGGGTGACTCGGCTGGCTGAGCATCTGACTCTTGATTTCAGCTCACGTCATGATCCCAGGGTGGTGAGATAGAGCCCTGTATCAGACTCTATATTGAGTGTAGAGCCTGCTTAAGATTCTCTTTACCTCTCCCTCTGTGTCTTCCCCACCCTAGCTCATGCACTCTCTCCCTAAAAGAGTAAAATGGCCCCATCCAATACCAATGAGGAAATAAATTTTTAATTGAAAACATTTTTTAATCCTAATTTTAAATAGTCATATGTGGCTACTATCTATTGTATTGGACAGTGCAAATCTAGGAGATCTTTATTAAGACTTTAGTTGCTTTTAATGGCCATTTATTTAATATACAACACATTATTATAAAACTTATAATAAGGTAATAAAAACTTGGCAAAATTAGGCTACAGAAAATCTTTGGGCATTCTGTGCAGCTAATTGTACAAATCTTTCATATGATGAATTGTAATTTTAGAAGCATGTAGGAATGAAGAAGTTATGGAAATAAGAGTATTTTCTCTCTTAAGGTTACTAAGTCTTTAAAAAATACCACAAAGAAAATCATTTTAAGATTTATCTTCAGTGTCTAGAAAAAATAACTTAGCAGGCTCCAGGCTCTAAGCTGTCAGCACAGAGCCCAATGGCAATGTGGGGCTCAAACTCATGAATCATGAGCCCATGACTTGAGTTGAAGTCAAGACACTTAACAGACTGAACCACCTAGGCACCCCACAAATGCCTGCTTTTAAATTTTACCCAAGTAGACTCAATGTAGTTAAGACATTTTTTCAGTTCTAAAGCTTACCTATGTATCTCATTTATTTTTTTAATGTCTTATTTATTCCTGAGAGCGAGAGAGAGAACGAGAGAGAGCATGAGCAGGGGAGGGTCAGAGAGAGGAGACACAGAATCCGAAGCAGACTCCAGGATCTGAGCTAGCCGTCAGCACAGAGCCCGACGTGGGGCTTGAACTCAAAAACCGTGTGATCATGACCTGAGCTGAAGTCGGACGCCCAACTGACTGAGCCACCCAGGCTCGCCTTACCTATGTATTTCAAAATACACTCCAGTCTATCCACCAAAAGGAAGACAAGGCAGTTCTGACACATAATGAAATTTATTTCCAGAACAGACAGGGACCTGTCAGGATAAAGTCAGCCATGATACTGAAGAAAATAAAAGAAGGAAATGAATAACACCCAGTTTTCCCCTTTCTCCTTATTTGTATATGATTTTTATTTATGAAGTAGCATTGGAGAACTTATGTTTCTAATATTAATATTGTAATAATAAGAAATGTGTATCACCTGAAGTCATCAGGCTCAGCAAATAATACACAAAGGATATGGTTCAATAAATGAAAACCCAATATATGGATTATACAGGATTATATGTATGTGTATATATGCCAGATGTAGTTTTTTTTCTAAATGAAAAGCATATATGACTCTATCACAGAATTCAGTTTTTAAAAATTCCTGATACTTTGTGGCCTTTACAATCTCACATTGTTTCCTTTGACCCTGTTTTCATTCTACATATTATAATCACAAATTATTCAAGACAAAGAAT